TTTTTACAAGAATGATTAATACCATTACTGCTTTTATCCTATTAACACTCTATTCACAAAGATTTCTGTAACTAAAAGAACTTAGAAATGGTGGCTGGCACCTAGTTCATATTAAATAAGTATCAGTATCATGATTGGCATTAATTTGCCATGTACGAGGACACAAAATTACATGCTAAATAGGAGAATTTGTATGCTTGTGCTGTTACACTCAACATGAAAAAACTGTTATAAATTGGGTCAAAATTATGAAATGTAAAAAATAATAATTCTGTGAACACTTCATTACAAGCAAAGAAGGAATTTATTAATATTGAGAGAAATTTATTGCATAACACTTGCCTTCGAGAACCTAGACATAGTCAACCAAGTATAAACACATTCCAGAATGTAAGAGTTCACTGCTAAGTAATAAAGAAAATAACAAGAACCACATCTACTAACATTTTCTGAGCACTTACTACATGCCAGGTACCACCCTAATCATTTCTCAAAGTCAGTGTTAAACTTTATGTTCTTAAGACACCCAGGAAGACAGCTTCCATTTACCAGATGAGAACACTAAATGTAGAGGTCAGCCTGTCTACCCAAGGTCATCCAGCTGATTCCAAAACAAGACTTTACTCTTGATGCTAATAACTCCTTGTAGATTGAACAGAACAGAGGAGGGGAAAGTCAAGAAGACTTCCAGAAATGAGAGAAAGAAAAACAAAGAGAGAGCTTGATAATCTGTTTTGCCAATAATAGATCAGCATTTCACCCAAAAAAGGGTATTTTTAATATGAAGGCAGAAAGGAAAATCACAGTACTCATTACCTTACTCAGGTAACTGTAATCCCTCTGTACTGTATCTTTACAATAAAAAAGTATATTTTAAAAAAGAGAAAGGAAAATTACAGCACAAATCCAAGAAATAATAGTGACCTTGTAACCACATGTGTGTGTGCATGGGTATGACATGTCTTTCTCGTTTCACCACATGCTAGTATGAATCAATATTTTTGGCCACCGTTGCATCCAGTCTCTCCATGATTAACTTAATACTTACTTTTGCATTCTTATTTCAGATTTACAGGAAGTTTAATAAGAGCTGTCTACAAGGGTAATAAAAATATAAAAAGAAAATGGAATTCAAATAAGCCAGTCCTGAACTCTGCTAAGGAAAAGATAACTACAGGGCCATAGAATTTTGAAGAGGAAACCAAACAAAGGAACCATGAGCTACCATGTTCTAAGATGTTGTTTTTCCATCCAAAAAGACCTACAGAGTTCTCTTGCTCCTAGGAGCTCACTGAACAAACCTACATTTGTTTCTCTGACATGACTATGCTAGTGTTTGAATTTGGGGCTCACTCTGATATTCTCCTCCACCCACTTTTCAGAACTCATTCTCAGGAGAACACACAGAGGTTTCAAAAACCTTGTTAGAGGACTGAAAATACAACCAATTCACAACTAATTCTTCATTAGAATCTTTTCTAGCACACACAACTTCATCAGTTAATATGAATGAAATGAGGTTCACACAATATACATCCAGCAACTTCTCATTTCTAAAGTCAAGGAGGATTAAGAATTTAACTGTGCCTCTTCTTATGAAATGCTTCAATAGCTGAACCCCACTGAAGCACATATAAATCCCTCTTTGGAAAAAACTTGGTGGACACCTATTATAAAAAGAACCCAATGTTGAATGCAAAAAAAAAATGAAAATCCAACAAAAAATACTTGTTGCAGATGCAAGTTTAGCCCAGTGGGGATGATTCTGCCCAGTTCATGGCATGTGACAATATCTGGAGACATTTTGGGTTGTCACATATGACAAAGGCAGTACGGGCCCCTAGAAAGAAGAGGCTAAGGTTACTACTAAACGTCCTACAATACACTAGACAGTCACCTATACAACAGAGAATCACCTGGACCAAAATGTTAAAGGTACAGAGGCTGAGTAACTGTTCTTAGGTATGGGATCCCAGAGTTCACAAGAAATGCAGTAGAATCCCTTTTCCCTTTCTCCTTACAGTCTGGTGTGGAGACACACACAACCAATAAAATGGATTAGTCTAATAGGTTATGAGTGTTACCAGAAAAGGCACAGCTGGGTAAGACCAAGAATGCAGAGGAATAGCAACTGTGACCACACGGATTAGAGAAGGTTCACACTACTAGTGTGGTAGGAATCATGGGAACAACATTCATAGGAATACTGGCAGCTAGGGGTACAGAGGGTGGCTGTCTAGGCAAAAGACAGTCTAAGAAGCTGCAAGTGCTTTATACAAAGATCCATGAAGTGAAGGAGCCTGGGGAATTTCAGGAACATGAGGAAACTAATACTGGCTGAAGCACTGGGGGCTTCCAGGCACACAGCAACGATAAAGGTCAAGGCTGACAGGTAGTATGACTACCTAGGCTGCCTACCAAGTGATGCATTATTGTGGGAGCTGTCCTGTGTGCTGTAGAAGGGACGGCAGCGTCCTTGGCATCTACCGAATGGAGGTCAATAATAATCCCTGTCCATTGTGATCATCTTAAGTGTCTCCAGAGGTTGCCAAGTGATTCCTGGGTAACAGAATCAAGTCACTTTCTGGTTGAAAAAAAAAATCACAGCAACATTTCAGCTTCCAAATTAAAAATCTAGTAAAACTGGATGAGGACAGTAGGCAGTCCAGCTAAGAGCCAACTGCAGTAACGCAGGTAAGGGCCGATAGTGGTTTGGCTCAGAGCAGAAAGAGGAGTTGGCAAGAAACGGCCCACTCCAAGGAGAATACAATGGATAGTTATCAGCTGCTGTGGCAGCAATGTTAACCTTTGAATTACAAAACTTTTTTTAAAAAACTAGGACATATAAGGAATGAAGTGCTGTAGCAAAGACTTCAGACAAAAAGCAACAAGAAGGCCCTGAGCAACGTGTAGCCCAACAGATTGTCACACAACAGATGTCAATGACAATACCTTAGACAACTGTGGGAAACAGTATAGGGAAATGTTGCCAGCTCCATCTATTATTCACAGATTTTATTTAACTGGTTTATTTCAAAGAGCATGTGTCTGCTCCACATACAAAATTTACAACTTTTTTTTTAATTTAGCCTGCCTTCTCCATGCTGGTTTTACCCCTGCACCTGCTTCAAGAGCCAACGTGTGAAGCCATCTCTTCCCACATACCCACATTTTTTTTTCCTTACACGTGCTCACTAGCAAGCTGCTGAGGATGTGTGCCCTTGTAAGTCAATTTTGCTGACTCTGTAAAAAGAACAAGCCCAAATCCTTCACCCTGAGTGTGGTGGCACTCAGCTGGCTTTTTCCAGATGGCATTTTCCTCACTCCCTCAAACTCATTTAATGTTATGTATCAGCTACCATCAAAAATGTTCCAAACAGTCCGGTTAATTCATTTCTTTCAGGACCACACACACACACACACACACACACACATACACATTCTGGCCATGTAAGCATTTGCTTATAGAGGCAAAAGCAGAGACTGCTCAGTAAAACACTGGTCCCTTCAGCCGAATACACATAAAGCCCCAATGAGCATAACCAACAATACCCCCTTACACAATATTACTCAAAATCCCCAGCCCCCAACACACAATCTATGCTCCCTCACAGAGTAGCTATTATGAGGAGAAACCACCAACTAAAGCTGGCTTCATGCATCTAATTGCCTGAGTTTTCCCTCCTATCTGTCTATATGACAGCCAGGGAAGGTCTGCTCTTCCTCAGACTTTCATCCCCAACTTGGGCTCAAAGTCCTGCCTCGGTGCAGAGGGAAACAAACCTAGATCCACTTTTCATCAGACCTTCTTTCTCTCCAGAAGCAAAGATTCCTGACCCCAGTGTCCGTCTTCATTTCCCCTGGTTTCTGGACCAGCTTCCCTTCTGCCAGTGGGTCCCCCCCCCCTACCCAGACCCTAAGTCACAGCTAGGCCAGGGCAGGAAGGTTACTCCACTGATCAACTTCTAGTCACAGCCATATCTTATCTCACAACTTGAGGAGATGGAAATAAACCCTCTTTTATCTCAGTCTCCACGGACCATCTCCCTCTTGGTAAACACAGAAAATGAGAAGTTCGGGGGGGGGGGTCCCAGAGTGGCCAGTGGATGGCCAGAAAGGAAAGCATGCACCCCATTCTCCCAGACAAGCGGGAACAGAGGTAGCCAAGAAGCGTGGCCCAAAGGAAGTGGGCACCGCTGGGAAGGGGGGGGGGGCGCCACGTTTGGAGGGTGCCTTCAGTCCACTCCTAAAGTTTGTGAAATGTTCGTGAATTAAACACGTGTCACTGCCAAGCAGTGAGCATGCCCAACAATCCTCTCTGGTCCAAAGCTTCTCCCCCTCCCCAGCCCCCCCAATCTCCGCATAGAAGGCATCGGACTCCCGTCCAGGGCGCTTCACCCGGGCAAGGAGACACGCCCCCCGCGTCCCCCGCCCCTCCCGCGCTCCCACGTGTGGTCCAGCAGGTGAGAGGCGGGGCGCGGGGAAACTTCCTTCACCTGGAGTCCTTCCCAACGGGGCTGCAAAGCAGGAGACTCCTGGAGAGCTCAGAGGCTCCTCAACCCCCCACCCGCCCACCCACCCACCCCAGGTCCCCTTCTCCGAGCGCTCAGCCTGCGGGAGGGGGGGGGGGTGTGAGGGGAGGGTCCCCAGGAAAAGGGGTTCAGTAGAAACCGTACCCTCCCTCGGCCCGCCTGGCCAGGCGTTCGGTCCGGGTTCTCCTCTTTCTCCGCGTCCTCCCCCCCCACCCCCCCCACCCCGCGCACCTGGACCCGGGTCGCTCCCCAGCCCCCACCCGCCCGCAGCAGCTGGCATGGCCACGGTCTCCCCCGCACCCCGGCGCCCCCGAAGCGCGCTCCGTCCCGCGGGGCCCCCACCGGACGGGGGGCCGGCCGCCTGCGCCCCGAGGCAAGGGCACGGGGTCCTTGTCCCAGAACTCGGGAGGGGGGCTCTGCGGGCCCCCCCGGCCCCCCGCCGCGCCCCCTCCGGCTGTCACCGCTCACCTGCTCTTCAGAGGCTGACTTTTGAGTTCGTAATAGGTTTTGGGCTCTTCGTGAAACTCCTCCCCGACTTCGAAATCCGGCACGATCCCCGACTCCGACTGCATGGCTCCCTTCTCGCCCGCCTCCCACCGCCGGAAAGTGAGAAAGAGAGCCCGGGGGACGACAGGGAAGGTGCTGGGGGTCTGAGTCCTCCTCCCCCACGTCCCCCCAAAAAAGACGTGTGCCCCGCGCAGTGCCCGGCTCAGCCCCGCTCACTCGCGCGGCTGCAGCCCGCCCCGGCGCGGCGAGTTTACACTCGCACCCCGGCGGGAGGGGCCGGAGGCCCAGTGTTGACTGGGATTTGTAGTTCATCCTACGCGAGGGCACCCGGGAGCCTGAGGGAAGCCACTGGCCTTAGAAAACTACCACTCCCAGAAGTCCGTGCGCGGGGCTGAGGCAACGTGGTGGACACCGCTAGTGCAACTCCTGTTTGGATTCATTGTCAATGTCAGCAGCTCCTCTCTCTCGCCTCTCCCACTCGCCTCAAGGGTACAGACCCTGATATTTAATATTAATCAGAAGGGACTCAGCCTGCCGGCCTACTGTCACTCCTTCCTGGGCACGCCGAGCTCCTGGTTTTAAAAATAAAATACTAAAGGGCATTGGCACGGGAAAGTTTCAGCCCTGGAGCCTGCCTTCCGATAAAAGGACTTCCCATTCAGCCCTCGCGCTGCCCGGGCTGCTGCGAGCCTTCACCCGCCTGTCCTCCAAGTGGAGCCGAGGGGGGGGGGGGGGAACCATGCACTTCGCTTCCTAACGAACATGATGAGTGGGGGAGTTGTGCTTGTGCGTTCTCTTTCTGGAACGAACGGACTCTGGGCTTTGGACCGTGCCGTTCCGCCGCGGAGGGTGGCCCCCACCTCTCCAATTAGCCACCCCTCATCCACAGCAGCACTTGAAAGGTTCGGTTAATTGAAAAAGGCACAAGGTTACAAAACAGGGTCGTGGCGGGCTGCTTTCAATTTCTCAGCTGGCTGGGAGTTCAAATGAGATTGTCCTAACTCGTCCGGAGTGTGTCCACCCACGTCTGGGCTTCCCAGCACTCACTGAAGGTGAAGGAATTCAAGACTCGCTGGTAGCTCATTTGTGCGGCCAGTCCTGCCCTCTGATTAGTTCCGGTTGGAAGTTTTCTTTTCGTTTAAAAAATAATAATAATGAATGCCAGTGTCTCGAAGCCTTAGAAGACAGCAGGGAGTATAAAATTCTGACTTGAAATCCTTGGTTCTTCTAAGAAGTTCTGTGCAATCTTAGGCATGTCCTGTGATTCTTAGAAGCTTCGATTTCCCCATTTATGAAAAAAAAATTGGGAAACTTGGTTTAGAAGGTGGTGCAAGGTCAAATGTAAGAGAAAGTTGTTTGGAATCTATTCTTTTAAAGCTGCTCAATGGTCTTTTGTTGTTCTTAATTCCATAGTGAACATATTACTTGCAGATTAGCAGCTCACTTGCTCACTGATCCTTTCAGAAGTAATAAACTAAGTTGCCACCTGGATGAAGCTTTTTTAAAAATTTCACACCAGTCCATGTTCAACATAAGATAGGTTGTTGGCTTTGTGTTTAGAGCCTGGATTTGGGGGAAGTGCAAGAGGCATACTGTGTCAGCATAGCGATTACAAAAATCATATAATAAAATCGAGCCTTCCTTCAGTCCTTCATTATAACTACTGACATATAGCAGAAAAGGCCCCTGAAGAAAGCAGGGAATATTAATTGATAATGGAAGCATGAAAATGAAGAAGTGTGACCCTCTGTCAGAAGAAGAGAAAAACTAAAACACAAAAGGACTGACGGTGTGATCCAGACTCTTGATTTCATCCAGATTCTCCACCTTTGGGACTTTGTATGCCTAAAGAAACATTGATTATCATAAAACGTTGTAGCTATTCCAGACATTTAAGGAGGATGAGCCATAGACACTAATTACCCTGCACAAAAACAAGCTTCTTTGTCCAAAATGTCATTGGCACCCATACTGAGAAAGAAGTCTGCCATCTTTGTGGTTTAACTCTTCAGAATCTGCCTGTGCAAGCTGGAGAAGCCATGGACCTTGTCTTCATAATAAACACAGATGAGAAGAAAATGCTATACATGATTTTGTTCCAGTGGCCTTTTAAGGGCTACACAGACTTCATGGTAAAACCAATCATCTCTCTTGAAATGGAATCCAGTGTCAGTCATTATATTGAACAGCAATCAACCAGACCAAAGGGATCAACTTAGAAAAGTTTGTCAGGAAAGCCAAGACTCCTGAACTTGTCTCCAACTAAATATGTTTTTCACAGAGATTTCTGGGGTACAGAGCTCTGAGCTGAGGTTCACTTGAGGCGCACACACAGAGCTTTCACATTTTCCATCTATGTGTTGCTTTCATTCTTCTCTGCTCTTTCTTCAGAGACACTTTCAAGTGTTGTCTTCACAGTGCCATTTTCCTCTCAAGGAGGAGCTTCTTCCAGAGGGTCCCAGGAATGAACAGGGGGTCCTAACATGGCTAGCAGCCTTCCTGGGGATTTTTCTGCTAAGGTACTTGTGGAAGAATGTCTGATTTGGGGAGCATGATGCCAGAAGGAAGAAAACCTGGACTTATCTATGGCATCAGGAAAGCTGACATAAGATGGGAGACAATGAAATAAGATTAACATAGAGGAACAGAGACAAGCAAAGCTGAGAATTCGAAAATACAATAGCAGTGTCTCCATGCCTTGAGATATTCTTAGACGATCCAAGTATAAGAACAAGATTAAAATTTCTTTTTTGCTGAAACTATTTTGCTTTAAGTTTTCTGTCACCAAAAGAGCTTTGTTTCATTATCATAAAAATCTTTCCCTCCTTTAAATGGATAATTTCCTACAGCTTGCTACATCATTAATCCACATAACAAAAAGTTGACCACTTGATAGATGCGCCCTGGAATTTCTCTTCATTAATGAGTTAAAAACAGGTACTGCTTCAAAAATAGATGATAAATGAATAGCTCTGTGCAGTGAAGCTAATGAACAAAAGTAAAGACTATAGATTTTCATTACTATCATTTGTACCACCTACATCATGTAATACTTTACATACATTTGTCATATGAACCTCTTCTTGGGTCGGTCTCATAAAACTTTCTGCAAGGACTGTGGTACCTGACCCAGTGCTGCTCTTATCCTACCTTTTTGTACCCATTCTAAAGAGACATGAGGGTCCTTTCTCTTTCTGAATAACATCCTGGATGCACTCTTTCTTGTTGTGTATCCTTGTTCCTGATGTCAGATGCTCCGAATGTAAAAATGTGCCTAATGTAATGTCCCGAATTCCTCTTGCCTGTATTGGGTAGCATGGGGATACGAATTTAAATGCTTATTCTTGGATTTCTTTTGAAATAAACCAATTTTATAATCATTTTTAAGCTCCTGCAGAAATGGCTAAGCAAAAGCCCCAAGATACCATACATTGAGTATACATATACACTAGCTGTAAGACATTATTGTAATCCATGTCCATGGAAGGCTCCAATCTCAGAATTAAGTAAAGCTATGTGATCCACTCTCAGCCTCACACAAAGGAGCATGCTGAGCAGCACATAGCTGGTATATGATCTGTACTCTCATACCTACCCAGTTCAGTAACTATTTATGACACATCTAATGTGTGCCAGGAACAGTGTGTACTAGGTATGGAGTAGACAGCAGCATTAACACCATGGTCCCTACCCTCAAGACACACTTCCTATCATTTTAGAAATAGGAATTGGATATAAGTTAATGGTTGTAGACAATAAGCAGGTAAACAGCAAGTGTCTAACTAAAGAGCAACTGGTAAAGATAGGAGTGGTAATGAAGAATACTTAGAGGAAAGGTGCCAGAGATAAGTCTTTAAAACTAAACAAAAAGGGGGAACGAAGTTGGGTGTCATTGTTCATACTGTAATCCTATCTATTTTGGAGGCTGAGCTCAAGAGGATTGTGGTTTTAGGACAGCTCTGGCAATAACGTTCACAAGACTCCATCCCAATAGAAGGTGCTGGACATTGGAAGTGATGCTGTGGCTCAAGTGGTAGAGCACTAGTCTTGAGCAGAAGAGCTCAGGGACATACCCAGGCCAAGAGTTCAAGCCCCACAGCTGGCAAAGAAAAACTTTGAAAAAAAAAAAAGAAGGCGCTAGACGTGGCGGTGCCCTCTTATTATATCAGCTACAGTAAGAAGCATAAAATAGACTTACAGCCAGGCATATGCCTGAACAGAACAGGGAACAAAACCCTATCTCAAAAATAACAAGTATAAAAAAAGAGCTAGAGGGGGCTAGGAAAGTGGCTCAGTGGTAGAGTGCTTGCCTCACATGCATGAGGCCCTGGGTTCGATTCCTCAGCACCACATAAGCAGAAAAAGCCAGAAGTAGTGCTGTGGCTCAAGTGGTACAGTGCTAGCCTTGAGCTGAAGAGATGAGGGACAGCGTCCAGGCCCAGAGTTCAGGCCCCATGACCGACAAAAAAAAGAGCTGGAGGCATGGCTCAGTGGCAGAGTGCCTGCATCACAAAAATGAAGCCTTGAGTTCAAATCCCAATAATACCAAATATGAAAGGAAAGGAAAAAAAACCTAAGATATATGAAAAGTGAATATGAAAAGTAACCAAGATTTTTAGTGTAGCCACCAACATGAGTAAGAGGAACAAAAAGGATAAAATCACACCAAAATAAAGGAACTCTACACACCTTTGAGAAACTCTTCCAAAAATAATAAATAAAGGAGAAAGACCAAAGAAGAATGCTTATCGGTTTTCAAAGATTCAAAACATGCATCAGAGAACCGCTTACACTAAGCAAAAGGAAATAAATGTACATATCAGCTGATGTGGAAGAAATAGTTGTATTGTCAAAGCTCAAAGAAGTCACAAACATTACAGACCATGATAATGACAGTTTGCCTTGTGAAGGTTAAAATGTGTTTGTGACTTTATCACTATCTCACAATACTGTAAAATTTATGTACTCACTTAATCTCAATAAAAACTTATTTTAAAAAGACACATGCCAGATATGTGAACTACATCTCAATTTTAAAATGTGAAAAGCAAAACATATCACTTAAATACATGGAGTATGTTTGGATCTTCATTCAAACAAATTGCAAAAATATCATTTTGGAGCAAATTGAGATTTTTAG